TGTTCTTTTGTTAAATCGTTGTGTATTTTTAATTTGAAAACAATTAGTATTGTTCAATTCACTTTTGATGTTCCCTAAAATTCAGCATTCTATTCTTTTTAGTAGGCATATATGTTCTTTTATATACATAACATGTTCTTTATATGTAACTGTAATGTTTTTTAGAATAATTATCTGTTACTTATTATATATTGTATACTATGTTCTATTTTATAAAACTATATGTTCTTTTGTTAATTCTGACATGTTCTTTAGTATTATATATGATGTTCTTTCTTATATTTTGTTATTTTATTGGCTAGATTCATGCACACAGCTGTTGACACAAGTCAAATTTCAAGTTTTGATTGGTGTTCTTACACAATACAAAGCTTGATTGACAATTCTATTTACTATCAAGGAGATGTGAAGAGATACTTTCCTGGTCCACTACCATTCCTTATGGTAGTTTCCACTTTTATTTATTCTTTTATTTAAATATTTTGTATACAGATATATATATATATATGTGTTTATCGTACTGGGTTTTTTGTTAACAGGTTTGTTACTTTGATCGACTACAAAGGAAAAATATCATTATGCCTAGACAAATTCCTTTAATCAAAGAATGGGATAGTGATAAAATAGCAAAAAGAATTGCTATTGAGAGGAAGCTTGGCTTTGGGCTTGGCACACTGTTGGATAGAATTGAGATCCAAGATGGTTGTGGCCAGCCTTTAGCTATTGAAGGTGTAGTGGACCAACAACAGCAACCGCAGCAGCAACAACAGCAGCAGCAGCAACAACAACAACGACAACAACAGCAGGAGGAACAACAGCAACAACAACAACAACAGCAGCAACAACAAGTTCAGGAGGAACAACAACAACAACCTCAAGAACCTTCTAATTTACAGGTAAGCATTTTTATAATTAAATATATAAAGTATGTTCTTTAATGGTTAAATATTATGTTCTGTAATGGTTAAACTTGTGTTCTGTAATGGTTAGACTTATGTTCTTTTCCAACTAATTACATGTTATTTTGCTTTCTAATTAAGCGTGTATTTTTTTTAATTTTCAGTGTTCTCTAATGACTATGGTTATGTTCTTTTTTATTCCTTACATGTTCTTTTATTTTCTAATTCAGCATGTGTTATAATTTTTAGTGTTCTTTCATGATTATACTTATGTACTTTTTTATTAATTACATGTTCTTTTTTTTTCTGTACTTTGTTCTTTTGTAGGAATACACCCATTTGCTACGCCAAGCAACGGAAACAATTGCTTCTGGCTTTGTGAACCTCTCCAAAATTCTTAAGATGGGAGAGAGGTTCCATAATAGACCTATTGATGGGGATGCCACACTGTACAATGTAGCTGCAATGTGGTCCAGACTTTCTGGCATTAAATTGTCGGAAAATGTAATAAACAATGTACCTTCTCAAAGGGTTGAGGGGAGTTCCATCCTGAGCCAAGATACAGACTTCTTTGCATCTGACTGGTTTGGTGAGATGGTTGACAATGTTGTCAACAATTCTGGAGTGGAAGGAATCACTGTGGAGAAAGAGAAAGAAGGAGGTGAAGAGGAGGATTCTCAACCCACTGATTTGGAGCCATTGGTATTCAGTGTGGTTACCCCTTTGACTCCACCAACACAATATACAGGAGATCTAGACCTGAAACTGGCATTGAGCACAGGAAGTCCCCTCAATCTGGGAAACCAACAATTTTCTGACATCGGTGAATTTGATTCAGCATTCACTGACCAACAGTTGGAACCAAGTGTACCAGAGGAAATGTTAGATGGTCAAAAGACAGGGTAACTAATAATCTCAAAATGTGATTTCAGGTTTGTGTGGTATATTTATTTAGATTTGAATGATTTAGAATACAAATCTGTAATATTTATGTATTATTTAGATGAATGTTGTAATGTTCTTTATGATTTCCTAACTTGTTCTTTACAATTTCATATGTTGTTCTATGTGTTGTCATATAATATTCTATAAAGTGTAATGTTCTATTTGATTTTATATAATGTTCTCTGAGATTTTATGTGATGTTCTTTGATTTTTTATTTGATGTTCTTTATGGTATCATATCATTTAATGTATGTTTTTTTTTTTTTTTATTAATGATGTATAATATAACTACCTTTGAGTGTAAAAAGGATGCCAGATGAAAACAAGGATCAAGGTAAATTTGAGAAGGTGGTAGAAGAAAATGTAGCTGAAAATCAAAGGTATATACATATATACATAGACTTTATAATTATTATGGGTTATTGTTGTTACTTCATAAATATTTTTTGCTTACAATTATTGATTAATACAGTGATGCAACCGAAAAAGAGATGGTATATGTTAGAGCAAAAAGACAGAAAGGAAAGGAGGAAAATAAGGAAAAAAGGTATATGTTCTTTTATAAAAACTGTATGTTCTTTACGTTTTGTTCTTTGTTCTTTTTATAAAAATTTTATAAAAAAATCTATAAAAGATAATTATTATACTGAATAGTATGATTAATTATATATGTGTGCCTTTTTAGTGATACAACTACAAAAAAGGAAGATTGCAAAAAAAATAAACAGAAAGGAAAGGAGAAAGTGGAAGAACAAAGGTATATGTTCTTTTTTTTAGAAATATATGTTCTTTTTAAAAGTATTGTTTGTTATTTCAAATGATATGTATGTTCTTTTACATAAAATTTTATTTGCAGTGTTGGTCCAACACCTACAAAGAGAGCTAGGAAGTTGGGAAAGGTATACATGTCTCCTTTCCTAGTGCAATATTCTCATTTGATAGAGGGCACAGATGAGTTCAAAGAAGCTATACTGGAATATGCTTTTTCAGATGTACTTGATGAAGAGTATGATTTTATTCCTTGTACTAAACTATGCTTTTTCATATGAAATTGATGAAAAATAAGCTTTATTACCCTTATTTAATATTTTTATATTTTTTTGTTTTTATATTTTTTTTCTTTTTATGTAGTGAGTTATTTTATGACGATGGATTTGCACATTTGTCAAGAAAATTGATCAAAACAATGGGCGACAATGTATACATCTACAGCGATATAGTTGACGCTTTTTGTCTCATACTTAATGCAAAAAATTCTGCTGATGACAAAAAGAGGATTTTCTTCCCAAATGCAGCCATTGTAAGTGTAATTCAATTGGTTTTGATCCCTATTTTTTTTTAGGATATATTATTAATTTGATTCTAATCCTTTTGTTTTTATAAAACATAGAACTTGTTATGCGTGAGCGATGCGTATGTTGATGACAGTCAAGAAGCTACATATGGTATCAAATATGTTAAATTCGAAGAGACAATCAGATATTGGCTAATTGATTGCAATATAGAATCAGTTAAAGGATATCAGTTGGTAAGTCATATAATGTTCTTTTATTTTAAAGTAGTGTTCTTCTGAATTTAGTATATGTTCTTTAATTTTTAAGTAGTGTTCTTCTGATTTTAGTATATTTTCTTTTCATGGATTAGTTACACATTTTCTGTGACTTCCTTCACTATGTTCTTTTTATTTCTTTGATTTTTATTTTATATACGTGTGTTGTTCTTTCATGATTATATCATGTTCTTTATAGTATATTCAATGTTTTTTTTTTTTAAATTACATGTTTTTTTATCTGCCTGTTTCAGTTGTTTTTCCCTGTGTATGCGCACGACCACTTTTATGTGATGGTCATAAATACAAAATCAAAGGCTGTGGAAATTTTGGATAACAGACCACTTGTAGAGGGTGTTCCTTTTTCAGAAAAGTACCATGACTATCTAGAGAAGTTGGTAAGGATGTTATTTAACTTTTATAAAATAATGTATGTTTTTAATTAAAATATATAGTGTTCTTTTTGTCTAACTTTTATATTCTTTCGTTGTGTATGGTAGAGGCATGCCTTCTCAATGTACCTGAAACAACATGGGATGAAGTTATGGGAAAAAGTCCTCAACTATGAAATAAAATTGGTAGACATGCCATGGAGAACATTGGACAACAATGTTGATTGCGGAATATACGCAATGCGTCACATGGAGACATACTTCGGGAAGCGTAAATGGAATTGTGGCTTGAGGGCTGATAATGTAATATTATCATATTTTGTATTTTTTTTATTTAAGAAAATAACAAACATTAATGTTTTTTTTTTCTTTTTTGTGGGTGAACAGTTTGATGCATTGAAGGCACTTAGAATGCAGTACGCATATGAGATTCTTGTGGATCAAGTGAATAAGCGCCATGCAGATTTTAGCATGAAGGCCAAGAAATATTTCAAGGAAATTAGGAATGATTAGAGACACTTGTGTTAGTTTTTGAACAAGTATGTCTTTTTGAAAATTTGGTGGATGTTGAACAATTAGCACTGTTGAACAATTAGGAATGATTAGAGACACTTGTGTTAGTTTTTAAACAAGGAAATTAGGAATGATTAGAGACACTTGTGTTAGTTTTTGAACAAGCATATTGATTTGGAAGAAAGAATAGAATGAACATGTACAATGTTCTTTATACAACATGTGTTCTTCTGATTTTATGCAATGTTCTTTTGATTACAAACAATGTTCTTTTATTAACATATAATGTTCTATTGATTACATATAATAGAGTGTTCTTTTATTAACATATAATGTTCTTTTATTAACATATAATGTTCTATTGATTACAAACAATGTTCTTTTATTAACATATAATGTTCTATTGATTACATATAATAGAGTGTTCTTTTATTAACATATAATGTTCTTTTATTAACATATAATGTTCTATTAATTACAAACAATGTTCTTTTATTAACATATAATGTTCTTTTATTAACATATAATGTTCTATTGATTACAGTAACCACCATTAATATGCAAAATATGTCTTGTTAAAAAAAAAAAAACTGAAATAGAGTGTTCTGATTTATAAGATCTTATTAAAAAAAAATTAAAAAAATATAAGGACAAATATGAAATAAAAAAAATTGTTAACATAGACTAAATAGTACATATCATTTATAATTCTCTAATATTCACTCCAAAATAGTCATCAGGCTCAAAAAACTCCAAAGATCCTCCAAATTCGTTGGAATGTGCCAGAACATTTCCATCAGGTACAGGGAGGAAATCCTTTCAAAAAAAAATAACAAATTATTTAAGTAAAAGAACAATATGTATAAAATGAAAGAACAAGTTGTAACCATAAAAGAATGTAATATAATATAATTAAGAACAATATATACCTTAGTCGTAGTCTGTGCTTTTTGTTTCATCTTTGAAACACCCTTTGCGCTTTTCTTTCTCCATGACTTTATCTTTTGACCTTTGAGCTTGTTGGAAACCTTTTCCTGTGTGCTTTTCCACCTAGTATTCTTTTGACCCTTTTTCCTTTTTTTGATAGGATCCTTGACATCTACCTGAACTGTGTGTTCTTTAACAATGCCTCCATATTCTCTTTCAAAACCTCCATGTTCTTTTTCAAGTCCTCCATGTTCTTCAGCCAATTCCTCAAATATTACTGCTGGTTCTAATAGACTGCCATCACCTTTTTCTGGAGTAACATCTTGTTCATTCGTTTTTGATAACTCAGGTGGCACATCTTTATCTTCTCCCATCAAGAGATTAATCCTAGCAGTGCATTCTTCAATTGCTTCCTCAATGACAGCTCGAGCACTCAAGTCATTTTGTGCTCGATCTACAAGTGTGATAAATGTACGAATATGATACAATCTCCATACACTACAAGGAGTGACACCCATTTCAGCAACATCATTGTCATCAACTCTAGTGCACATAGCAGCTTTTGTCCATCTCTTGCAAATGTATCTCTTTGGGATATAAGTAATGTTGTTTAAATGTAAGACACGAAGTGAGTGCTTGCACAACAAACCTACCTCACCAAAATATTTGCAAGTACAATCAACTGTAACTGTTGATTCATCAAATGCAACAGTATGCATGATCAAATCCTTTTTTGGATGCCCAACATGATATTCATAAAGTGAAGGTTGAAATCCTATTACCTTTGCCGTGCAGGGAACACCATTGACAAAATTGTCTTCAAAATGTAAATAGATTTGAATAGTATAAATCTTCCTTGCATGCTCCAACAATCCAATATCTGCCCAAACTAAATGACGATTTCCAGTCATACTATCATAATCATTACTACCTTCTCTACTCCTCCACTCATCAACAACCTCAATAAAAGTAGTGTAGAAATCACATAGACCATGAGTGGCATGTAGTCGACGGGAAACTGATTTGTTAGTAGTTTCACTCCTCTGAGATGACATAACACCGCCACTAAAATAATCTTTGGAATATGCAGGACACCACATCTCTTTGATATTATACAGTTTTTGCAGCCATTTATTATCTATGCATTTGTACGTTTTCTGCATGCTGTAAAATAAAAGAACATCATACTAAGTGAAAAGAATGTCAAATATAATAGAAAAGAACATTTGTATACTTAATTCCAGCACATTAAGTTCACTTCAGAAGAACATCAAATATATGATAAAAGAACATTAAACGAACAACACAAGGAACATTATTTTAAGTAAAAAGAATGTCACACGTAATAAAAAAGAACATCTCTCTATATTAATCCAGCATATTGGGTGTACTTGAGAAGTACATCAAATAAATTACAAAAGAACATTAAACATGAAAATAAAGAACATCGTCTAGCAACTTAAAGAACATTGAATAAGTAAAATATTTAAATAACATAATTTTAAAATTATTAATTCATAGCGTTACCTTGACCAATAGTGCTCGAATTCTTGAATAGTATCGGTATACTTCAAAACAATATCAAACAAATCATTAAAACCTTCCTTTGCTCTAAGTGCTTTGATATTTTTCTTTGCATTCTCCCCAATATGCCACGTACATAGTCGATGTCTGGAATTTGGGAAGACAACCTTAATTGCTTTGGCCATTGCTTGAGCTTGGTCAGTCATTATTGTCACAGGATGTTTGCCACCCATGGATTTCAAAAAAGTATTGAACAACCACTCAAAAGATTCCCATTTTTCATTGATCAAGAAGCCAATACCAAACATGACATTATTGTTATGATGATTCATACCAACAAAAGGTCCACAAATTATACCATATTTGTTTGTACGGTACGTTGTATCATGGACTAATAAATCACCAAAAGCATCATAATCTACCTTCATTCTATTATCACGAAAGAAGAAAGATTGCAAATGACCTTTTTCATCAACATCAAAGTCATAAAAAAAGTCATACTCACTAGATTTCCTCTCCTTAAAATAGCTAAGCAAGCGCTTTGCATCACAACCGTCAAACATCATTTTCTTATGTTGGGATAAAGCACCATACGCATCCCTACAAAGAAATGAAAGATTTGCCTCTCCACCAGCTTGATGTTTTAAAACACGCACTGCATCAGCAACAGGTATACTACTCTCAGTCAAGCTACTCATCATCACAACTTGTTCATTAGTAACCTGTGTACATACAAAAAAACACATTGTTTCAAAAAAAAAGAACATCATGTATTTGTTAAAGAATATATATTGCGCATTTAAGAACATGATTTAAAATAATTTTAAAAATTGTACCATTACCTTCCTATGAGACCTAATCAAATGTCTCTTTGAAACAACAACCCTACTATGATTATGAACCATAGTGTGATTGACCACGACATACAAACCAGACACCTTATCAATATCAAACTGTATATGAGCCTTGCAACCTGTGCGGAAATTCCTCTTTTGGTAAACTTTTGATTGTTCACCATGCTTCTTCTCATGCTTAAAGCCAGCAAAAGAACACACCAAAAAGCGTTGCCTAGGTGTCCTATCTTTGTCATCTCTACGATTCAACCTATCTTTACGTATACCAAAACCATGTTTAAATGCATAACTATTATACAAATCATAAGCCTCTTCATCAGACTTAACTTTTCTGTCAAATAATTCTGATTCAGTTGCCTCGGTAAAACCTGAAATAGGATATCAAAACACATATATATTAAGCTGATGTTCTTACATAATAACATGATGTTCTTTTAAAGGTATAAAATGTTATTTAATATATTTGTAATGTTCTTTATTAAATGCACATTGATAACGGCACATTAATTACAGAAAATACAAAACAGAGTACAACAAAAGTACACGACTCTTTCAGGAAAGTACATTACATTACAATAAAAGTATATAAAGAGTACTACAAAGTACCTATATAATTAACAATTGCACATGCACTAATAAATAAAATCAACATTGATTTCAAATTACATATAATAACAAATAAAAAAGAACATATGTAAATAATAAAAGAACTTCATCTTCAACCTCATGAAAATCACTGTGAAATTAAAAATATAAAGTAATTCGATAATAAAATTAAAATTATTAGTAATAACTAAATCTAATAATCAAAATTAATGATTAACAAATGAAAAATATAATGAATTAAACAATTCACCTTCATTGAGGTTTACGATACCCTCGACTTCACCTTCATCGTTGATATCATAATCATTTGCATCATCGACAAATCTAGCATTAGAATCATGGCGAAATTCAGATTGATAAACCATTATTAACTTCTTCTACAATGAATTCAAATGATTGATCCTCAAAATTTTCTCTGTAATTCTCTCTCACTAAAAAGTTTGAAATCTCTATGATTTTCCCTCTCTAAATCTTTTTTGAAAATATCAGTTAACAAAAATTAGCAAAAACTGAAAGCTATAAAATCGGCAACAATTTAGCAAAATTCACGTGATGTTAAACTATCTCCTTTTTTTTTTTTTTTAAATTACCGTAATTAGAAATTAATGGAATTAATCCTGCCAACTCAGCAGGTGTACCATGAGCATGGTACACCCTTGTGTACTATCAAATTTTTCGTATGTAACAAAGTAATGACGAAGAATAAGTCTTATCTTGATTTTCTAGCCGTATTTTACTAAAGTTATAAATTACGAGTTCTTAGTAATTAGTATGAACTTATGTAACAACCAATGACTACAACAAGAATCGAAAGCAAGTACTACTATCAATTGTAATGTCTTACTCAAGTTGTTTCTTTCTTACTCGTTTTGATTCTTCCACTAATTTACAAGTGTCATATTTGACAAATAACACTTACGCGATCCCTAAGAGTCTCCTTCCATGCAACAGATATTTTGGGCACCCAATAATACGGCTAATTAATCTTAAGAAAACGTCAAGAGTAGAATATTCTTAGTTTAAGTGTATCGTCGTCATCATAAATATTATGAAGGCCGTCAACTTTAGTGCCACTATTATATTATGATATTATATACTTCGTATTAGCTAACAATCGGCAGGAATAGGGTTGAGCGTCATATCCAACTCAATTATTTTGATTTGATTCGTGATTATTAGTATTTATATAAATAGTTATGAATATGATTGTTACATTTTAGGAATTGCTTTATTTTTTATAATGTATATATATTTTTTTGGTAGGGTTTTGAAAGAGAGAGGCAATTGAGAAAAGGTCTTACTTCACTTTAAACGATTCAACAAATATTACGATAAACTGATATATCTTTATGAGTTTAATTTCAATAAATGGCTAACCTTAATTGGTGAGATAATCTAAGTTTTTATTTGTCTTTTCATTTATTTAATTTTTTGTTACAAGGACAGTTAAGTTAAATGAAAGCCTGATTTTATTTGTCTTTGAAGTTTTAAATAAGTGTTGTTTAGTTAATGCTAATCAAGAATTAGATATGCAACATGTTTGGTTCACTCCAACTAAGTGTTACCAAACCCTTGTGAAAAGGGGATAAGAGTTTATTACAAGTTTAGACTTTGATGCTTTTCTTAATGAAGAGGCACGGTTGGCTTGTTTGGTGATGGGTATTTCACGACCACCCCATTGATGTAAGGCTTGTGATACCATGAAAAATTAGACGACATTGTTATTATTGTTTTTATAATTATTATTGTCGTTGTTGACAAAATGTGTATTTAGATTACAGAGTACAACAATTTAGAGATCAATACAATAAGACTCACATAAACGAGCCAATGAAAACTTAAAAAACGTGGATCAATTTTCATGGATTGTTAGATTAATTAATTACTCATTTAGCTTTACTAATTTTTGTTTTCTATGATCGGGATTTATAGATTTATAATATAGAAATATTTTTAAAAATAAAATAAAAAATCAGACCAAGTCAAGGATGAATCTATTTAAGTATCTAAAACCCCCCAGCATAAATAAGGTGGGTATCAATAGTTTTGTTCGCCCTCTTTCTGACAACTACTCTTTAAAATCAATGGACCAACGACTAATACTTCTTTTTCTTAGAACAACTCTTGATGTATCATGTATGTACTATGTAGTCGGCAAAATTGTACAGTACTTCATATTTCTAAACTTCTTTTTTTTTTTGAGAAATCATATTTTCTAAACTTATACACCCTAAATATAATTTTTGAAGTGTATAATATTCTATTCAACTAAATTTCACTTATTTAAATTAATTGTTATACTTTCAATTAATTTGAATTTATAATTATTTTTCCAGTTCATATTTTATAAACCTGTTGCAATTGCAAATTGACCATAGATAGTTATTATTGTTCTAAACTTAATTTATTAGAACATAATAGCCTTAACTTATCCAAACTTATAATAGCTCAAGACTTTACTTTTCTCTAAATTGAGATGAGAAGTACAATTGCACAATGTTTCAAAAAAAAAAAAAATGTTCTTATTTCGTAAACTTGTTATGTATTTATTCTAATATACATACGTTGCTTTCTATATTAATGACATTCGACTATTCGGCCATCAAACCAAGCATCATCAAGGTCAAAAAGAGGGTTATTAACATAATGTTAATATTAATGACATCGAAGAAATTGATATACAAAGACCAGGTAAATAATCACGTACAAATCGGTGTAGACGGCCCATTGAAGTTAAACATGTAGACAATGTGGTTCATAATTAATTTTGCTTCCCTAATTAAGGCTAAATAACAGAAAAAAAATGATTTTATTCTTTTATTGACTTACTTATTAAAAGAACTAGGACAGAATTTGGTAAAATGTTACCATCATACATGTATGTACGTAAAACTAACCTGAGAAAATACACCACTGCCAATAATTTGCTATTAGACTACTTCAAATTCGACGTAAGTCATTCGAAATAAAGACCTATTCAACTCTCACCTGCTGTAAACTCATGACATTTTGTTACAAGTCATGCATAAATCAAAGTACAATGTGTGTAATAGTGTATACTAGCTAGCTAAAAGTCGTAGCTAGTTAAGTTAGAAAGTATGAACTTTTATTACAAGATATTTTCTTTATGTAAAAGAGCATGATGAGTAACCCTTTGAGCTACTCTTCATTAATTATACGGTTGCTAGTTTTTTCTAATACGCTTTTCTTGCTGTTTTTACCTAGTCTTTCCCTAACCACATTCTTGTTTGGTGACTCTTTAGTTGATGCTGGTAACAACGACTATCTCTTCACTCTTTCGAAGGCTGACACACCGCCATATGGTATAGATTTCTCGCCTTCTGGCGGCCAGCCTACCGGGAGATTCACCAATGGCCGGACTGTTTCTGACATTATAGGTAAACTGATTAACCTCTTTGATGATAAAATTAGGGTTCAATATGGGAAAAACACAAAAAATTATGTTCTATTTTTTTCAACATTGTAATTATGGTTTGATTTTCAAATAGTTTTAGACTTTAGGTCAGTTTTGCCAATTAATAAACCGTACTTGACTTTTTATTTGCGTTCATGAACTAATAACTTGTTCATCTCAATTTCCTACTAGCTTATTAGTGAGCCAAATTAATGGATGGGTCCAATGCATGGACTTGAACCTTAGCTTCACGATAAAAATAATTTCTCTCACTTTTTGTACATAGTATATAAAATAAATGTGTATAAAATCAACTAATTAATTAATAAACATAATATAAAAGCACTACATATCCTAAAGAGCTACACTTGCCACCTCACCCTTCCTTTAGATATTAAGAGCCTCATTAAGAGTAACATCCTAGAGGGGTACGCCATTAACAATAACTCAATATACTTTGACTATTATAAAAGAAATTCTTAGTGTATGAACTAATTATATAAGCACTACAAAACAAAATCCCTCGCTAAAATCTCTTTCTTCATTCTCTATGATAAAGAGTAATTATTGTATTAAATAAATCAACTCCCAAGCTTAAAAGATATGGGCATTTTCTTATATATTTAAAATACATAAAAGTCTCAAAAAAGAACATTAAAAAAAAACATAATATTTCGGATTATTTTAGGAAAATACCTATATAAGATGGGACTATTCAAGAATAATCAAAAGGTGTGATTATTAAAAAATAATCAGTCAAACTTGGGATTATTAAAACCAAAATTTCCAAAGATATATACATTACAAAGCAAAAGTTCAACTGTGTGTGGCTTGGCCTTGTAAAAAAAAGTTACTTTTTTTTTTTCTAACAGTTAAAATGGTTACAGGACAGTCTTTAGGAGACAAATTTTTTCCACCACCATTCCTAGCTCCAAACACACAAAATAATGCAATTCATGCTGGAATAAATTATGCCTCGGGATCAGCCGGAATACTGGTTCAAACTGGGTCCTTGTTTGTACGTTATTACTCCCTTTGTCCCAAAATATATTCCGTATTTCATTCAATATAATTAGTTAGAAGTAAACATCTAAGACATTTTTGGTTTGATGCAGGTAGGAAGAATTCCACTACAGGAACAAGTGCAAAATTTTGAGCAAACTAGAGCTCAAATAGTTGCCAAAATGGGAGAAAAAGCTACAAAAAAATTTCTAAAGAATGCAATTTTTTCAATAACAATAGGGTCTAATGATATCCTCAACTACATTCAACCATCTATACCATTTATTGGGCAAGATAAGGTTCAACCTGCCATTTTTCAAGACCAAATGCTCTCCAACTTGACTATGCAACTCAAGGTAAAAATTAAGCCACCTCTTCTCAATATTTTAAAAACAAGAAAAAAAAAAAAGAATGAAATCGTACGTGAAATTGTGAAAAGAATTCGTCTCTAAATAATAGATCGACTAGCTTAATGGTGTATGATTTATGTACTACTCGTAGTTAATTTTACAAAATCAAAATCCCATCACAGATTTCATTTAAAAACATGTAGTATGTCTTTGGAATATTCAATTTGAGAAGCTATCATTAAGGAATATATATCAACTTTAAATAATGTTAACTTACTACCCGTAAAAAGTGACTTATAGTCTATGCCCTATGGAATACTACATATTATTATGAGACAACCTGAAACATAAATGTGATACATTATTTAAGGACAAATCAAATCAATCAATCAATCTAAGTTTTAATCCCATAAGAGTCCGTTCTGTACACTCGAGTGTACGGTACACCCGGGTAATTTACTCATTAATTTTTGTTCATTTAATTAATGAGCTGAATATTTTTGCTCATTTATTAAATGAGCAAAAATTAATGAGCAAATTACCCGGGTGTACCGTACACTCGGGTGTATATAACAAATTTTACCATAAGTAGAGTCAA